CCCCCCGCCCCCTTGTCCCCTCAGTGGTTTTGTAGAAAGCCCGGCTTGAAATTTTTTGAAAAATCAGCTCTCTGTCATTCATAATGTCAAATAGTTGCTTGTACATTTAAACAGAAGAGTCTTTATAACCACAGCCTCAGAATAGATGCTTTTAAACATCAACCTAATCCACAGGAACTTGCCGCTATATAAAAAAAACTTGTTTCAGAGGACATGTTATTGGTTAACAGGAACATTGTGTGAGAGACATTTTCAGTTCCTAGAAAGAAACAAAGTATTGAAAGTCAGAAAGAAAAAGGCTTAAAAGTCGAAGTTGAACATTTCATTGATGGTTTGTTAAAGAGGAGGTGGCATTTGGGAAATAAATCAGCAAAGATGACGAAGACTGTGTTATGGGTATGAATATTTGATTTAATCTGAGCTCTTTTCGAATATTAAATCATTACCATGCGTGTGTCTATTTGGCTGCGCCTGATTGAGAAGCTAAAACCTCCCCAAGGAGAACCCATCCCACTTTGTTTCCCTCTCCTGTTAGGGGAACAGTAACTCGTAAAAACACTAATACAGATAGTGTATTTACCAAATTATCCAAAAATGGGTGAATTAAACTAACTTCTAACTTCTTTTTTTATTACTATTTCTTAACCGTTATTTCACCAGGCAAATCCCATTGAGATCACAGATGTCTTTTGTAAGGGAGACGTAGGCCTGAAGGAAACTGCACATATTTTTAGTTTAGTTTGCAATGAGTTGGAACATTTTGATGTGTTATCAACCATCTGGGTGCTCTAATCAGCCAACCTGCATTGATCCAGGCAAACTTTCGGTGGCGTGTTTTTTATGTTGCCACCTAACTGCGGGTCATGCCGACACAGGTCACTGCAACATGCAAGTTCTGTTTGCTCTGCAGCAACCACGATGGAAAACAAACATTCAAAACGCAATCTCCCTGAAAAAAGGACGGGTCGGAAATAAAGCTCTGATTCTCTGTTTCACTGAGGAAACAAGAAAAAGGCCCTCTGGGGAAAGAGATGTAAGTAATTTCATCCATTTGCAGTTGCTCACAGGGAATCTGGAAGCAGCAAATTGCTCAATAATGCATTGATTTTCTTTGCAAACTTTTCTTTCTTTGATTAGATGTAAAGGACTCAGAGTTTGTCGATTGACGAGTAAATGCAAATAGAAGCATGGATGGCTGACTGGTTGCCCTTTCGCTTTTCTGTCATAATTTCTAATGTGCTTGACTCAAAATACGACTAAATTAGAACAAATAAAGCGCAGGAAGGACAATTTTCAGCCCACAGAAAAACTTCATTTGGCCTATAACATGCTAATTTACAAAATATCATTTAAAGAAGACTGAAAAAGGCAGAGGCAAGCCTATAAAAGATGTTAAGTTTGTCAAATTTATCATGGCATTTTACAGTAAGAATTATTCATTTAGAGACTTTGAAGCTTTATTTGCATTACTCCAGCAGCTTGACAGAAACAAATTGCCCTGACCAGATACTGAACTCGATATGCTGTATGAAAGTCAACTTTCTTAGAGTAGAGACAGAAAGAATATGACATCACATTTCTAACATCATATCTATTGTCATCTAAAATTATCAGGATGTGTTGTAAGCAGATTTACATTCCCCTCCAAAMGTATTGGAACAGCAAGTCAAATTATCTTGCTTTTGTGAAAACACTCTATCAACATTTAACTGAAGACGTTTGGATTTAAGATTAAAAGATGAGCATAAGACAAGAGTTCACAGTGTCAGCTTTTATTTCCTGGCATTGACATGTAGATGTGTTAAACTCAACTAATTTTTCAAGTGAGCAAGATTATTGGACTGACACGTGTTTCTTATTGACCAGGTGTTGCCTTTAAGGATAATTATTCAAACATTAAATCACTCTGCATGACGAGTCTATTTTTGGCCTGAGTTAAAGCCTATAAAGTAAGTTGTAAAAGAGGATAGACCAACAAGAAGATCAGAGAGTTGTCTATGAGAGAAAAACAGAAAAGAAGTAAAATCAATCAGAGCCATTGGACAAACATTGGACCATAGCAAGCACAACCATTTAGAATGTCCTGAACAAGAAATAACTGGTGTACTGAGCAGCACATGTCCAACAGGTCACCAAGGAAAACAACAGTAGTAGATGACATTGATATTGTGAGAGTAGTGAAAAAAAAATCAGTAAGTGACATCACCAACAACCTCCACAGTGCAGGGGTGAAGGTATCATGATCCACTGTTTGAAAACTCAGATGAGCTGAAAAAGTTCTGGAAGACAAACATTTGGACTGATGAGACCAAGGTTAATCTCTACCAAAGTGATGGAAAGGTCAAAGTKTGGAGAAAGAAAAGGAACTACTGGTGATGTGAAGCACACAAAGCTCAGCTTTGAAGCACGGTCCAGGTAATGTCATGGCTTGGGCGTGCATGGCTGTTTCTGGAACAAGCTCATTAAGATTTATTGATGATGGAACTGATGATGGTAGCAGCAGAATTAATTCTGAAGTGTACAGAAACATTTTGTCTGCCAATTCATAGAGAAATTGGGAGCAATGTTATCATGCAGCAGGACAATGACCCAAAACACACTGCCAACAAAACAAAGGACTTCATCAGGGGAAAAAAAGTGGATGATTTTAGATTGACCAAGTCAATCACCTGACCAGAACCCAATAGAGCATTTCACCTCTTGAAAAGGAGACTGAAGAGAAAAAAAACCCTGAGACAAACAAGAATTGAAAGAAGCTGTGGTGAAAGTCTGGACCAGCATCACAAATGAAGAATGCAACAGTTTGGTGATGTTGATGGGTCGTGGATTGAGGCAGTCATAGCAAACAAGGGTTATGCCACCAGATAGTAAATGTCATTTGCTTTAATTTGTCCCAATACTTTTGCTCACCTAAAAATGCTGTGGTGTATTACAAACGGTGATCTATCCTAAGTTTTTTAACACATATACTGTACATGTAAATACCAGGAAATAAAAGCTGACACTCAGAACTCTTGTCTCATGTTCATCTTTTGACCTTAAACACAAATATTCTTCAGTGTACAACAAAAACAAGAGAATTTGACTTGCTGTTTCAATATTTTGGAGGGGACTGTACAGTATTTGTTGTTGATGGTCAGTGTTATTCTAACAAAAATGCTGAAATACCCTTACCGCACCACTAGGTGGTGAGAATGTCCACAACAACGTTTCATCGAAGAACGTGTGCACATGGCCTGTTCACGTATGCACATTTGTAACTATTGTGAGCATTTGCAAATGTGCCACGTCATCATTTTTAAAAAGCTCCATATTCAGCAACCACACAGATCCACCAAAAAGGACATTTTAAAAAGCTTTAAATACAATAACTAAATCAGCACAAATTAACTAAATGTATATATTTTGGCTGTGAATTARTGGTACTTTCTTTTTTGTTAATGGTTTATTATTATGCAATCACCTGTTTTATACTATGAATCAAACTCTGTGGTCAATTTGTACATTTGTCTTCCAGCATGGTGCGGAGAACTCTGGGTCAATCCACTCGCTCCATCTACCTGGGCCTGGCTCTCGTATCCCTCACCGTCCATCTTCTCTTGGCTATTTTCTGCTTCTCAGTCCTCCAGTTCGCCTGTGTACCTCCCTCTTCCTCCTTATTAAACCCTTCCTTTGTTTCAAGAAATGACACCGTCTCACAATCCTCATCTTCTTCTGCTGCCTCTTCCTCAAACAAACCACTGGACAACTCCCAGAATGGACGAAGTCACAAACTGAGTGCGGATGACCAGAAAGGGAAGTTCAGTGAGGCCCCTGAGAGGGCAAAGAAACTGATTAGAACTGAAACAGTGGTTCAGAAGGAGCGGAGTCGCTCTAAACTAGAGGAGCTGTTTAAACATTCCCTGTACAATCTGCCACGTCCAGAACTACAGGAAGATGATTGGCTGCTGAGGCTGAAGACAGATGAAGAGGCAAAAGATGCAGAAACAGAGGAGAAGAACTCCGTCACTGATGACAGTGAGTGGTAAGTGAAACAGACACCAAAGCAGCTCATCAAGATCATGGGTTTGAGAAAGCTTGTGTCYTCAGGAAGCAGATGATTTTACACATCAGTCAAAGTCTGGTTTTCTTGAAGATGACCCTGCTGCATGGACAGAAAACATAGTCTGTTAGTTAATATATATGGTCCCCAAAAGACAAACCTAATAGACTGTTTTTTTGTTTCACCACAATCTCAAAAACTATGAAAACAACAAACCTCAAACACATGCAAATTTGTTTTTATCTGTACACGTTTGCATTGCACAGGCAAATATAGATTAAGCCTGGAATCTAGAACACCACAATGCTCAAAAATTGATTACAATATRGCAAAAAATGAAAAGAAATAAATGAGAAATATAATCAAAAGACCACTCCAGGCTGTTAGATCAACATTGCCAATATTGTTCAAATAGTCCTCACTAATTGCACCATTACTTAATTTGAAAAAAAAAAAGCTTTAACAGCTTTAAAAACCTTTCTATTTCTACCTAATTTAATACATTTCATCTTATAGGCAAAGTGCYAGTGAGGAGAAAGGCTATGATAAAGCCTCTTGGACAAGGGACAAGGAAACCCACCCTCCCTGGCTGCGGTTTCACCTGGGCATCTCTCGATGGGAGCTGTATGACAGGAAAGACCCCATCCTGGCCCAAATGACTCATTACCTGGCAACACATCGAATCCTCGGAGCTGGTGAGCCAAAATAAAAAAAARGAAATAAGAAAAAAAAAGAAAAGAAGAAAGGGCAGGTGGGAGGTGAGATGGAGAAGAGAAAGGGCAGGGCCAGGAAGCTGTTTAAATGTCAGAAGATGGTGCACGGTAAATGCTGAGTTAACGTTCACACTGATTTTATTTATTTATTTTTGTTTGTAGGATCWTAGGTACGTTTTTGAACTCAGAACACTTATGCACTTTGTGCGACTTTAATCATTCATAGGCCAAAACGTTTCATTTGTCTGGGAATAATATGCTAGGAATTTAAACATTTCTAACTTCTTAATTAAAAAAATACTTTATTTACAATGAAATTTCCCAAAACAAGACTTTAAGATGTATTTGCATTTTTTCAACAAAATTGGTCTTTGTTATATTTTTGTCTTCTTAAGCTTATTTCGGTTATAGCTTCTTTCTTGCTAATTTTAGCTTTTATCTGTTGTTTTGCTACATTTAGCTACTAGCTTCTTTGTTGAAATTTTTACTGTTTAGCTATAGTTTTGCTTATTTTAGCTTTTAGTAACAATTTCGCCATATTTATTTTTGAGTAACTGATATACCACATTTATTTTTGYTACATTTAGCTTTTATTTGCTTATCTTAGCCTTTAGTTTCAATTTTGTCATGTTAGCTACAATTTTAATGGGTATYATTTAGCTTCTGTTTTGCTAATTGTAGGTTTAGCTAGGTTTGACTAATTTTACCTTTTAGTTACAGATCTGCTACATTAAACTGTGAGCAATTGATTGCAACATTTAGCTTTTAAGTTGTAATTTGCTGCATTTGACCATAGCACAGTTTAACTTGTTTTAGCTTTTAGCTACTGTTTTGCTGCATTTATCTTTATGTAATTGATTTGTCACATTTGTTGCCTCTATTTGTTATGGTTTTACTATATCTAATAGAGCTGGTAAGCTGGTATATCTAGCTTTTAGYTACTGTTGTGCTACGTTTAGTTACATTATAGCTACAGATCAGGGTTAGTATCGCTAACTAAAACTAACTAAATAACGAAAACTGAAATTGAAAAATTTTTTTTAAACTAAAATAAATAAAAACTGTAATAAAATGAAAAAAAAACGATAACTATTAAAACTGCATAACCTTTTTACAAAACTAACTAAAACTAACTGAAAYTAAAGATAGAATATCCTTAGTTTTAGTGTTTGTCAAGTTATTTTGAGCCATGTGGATCTTTTGTTTTCTTTTAACTGAGTAGTTTCACATTAGCTGTGGGCAGCTTGTAGCACCTCATGGCCCATAACAACACTTGTTTACAGCCTGCTGCTGCTCAGCATCGTCTGCCAAATGACGACAACAAAAGATGGGAGAAAGCGGCAACGTCCACTTTGGGATTTCTTTGAATATGACTGCGAGAAAAATAAAAGCAAGTGTCTTGTAGTGGAAACAGGTGATAAAACAGGTGGAATACTTCTCAAGGGAAAAACTGCATGAATCAAGCTCACACAAGATGGCTAACTATGACTATCTTGACACGCTAGCTTCTCTCAGTAGCTCCTGTGAAAAATAAGCAACAGGTAGCACCGGGTTGGAGACMACTATTGTCATCGTCCTAAAATAATCACACAAGTCCTWGGTTGGCAATATTGAGTTACACAATTATTAATAAAGGAAGGTGTTGCTATAATGGTCTGCTTTAACTAGCGACCAAATATCTGTTGGTTGGTTAACTTCCAGGAACATCACAAGCTTGAGGATGCATTGGCAAATATGTTTATTCAAACTTTTAAACAACTAATACTAGAACTAATAAAAACTAAACTAAAACTAAGCATTAAAAATGCAATAACTAATAAAAACTAGCCAATCCACTTTAAAAACTAATTAAAACTAACTGAAGTAAAAGAAAAAGTCAAAACAAAACTAGACATGGGTTTTTACGATGTGAAACAAGTGTGCATTGCCATGCAGCATGTCATTGCAGCATGGCTTTGCCTGCAGCAGTGGACTTGCAGAATGAAATAGGACCAAGTTCAAATGCGTTTTCTATACCAGCTTGTGCCTGTCACGTCAGCAGGTGTTTGTAATTAAGGTAACTGTGTGACAATATGAAGTTTGAAGAGATTTTTGTTAAAGTTGCAGTAGCTGGTTTTGAACCCTGATCTCCCACATGAAAGCCCACAGTGCTCATCATGAGACTAYAKGAGATGTGGCAVAKGACAATMCCAGGGATTGGATTGTTTGTATACAGAAAAAGTTTACCTTGYCAATRCAATTATTGACACTTWRGTGCAATATATYACAGCAATAGGACAACATAAAGACAGTATTACAGTAAAACATCAAAATACAGTCATATTAATATTGTAATCACTGAACTACTGAGTTTAAAAATTATGAAACTATGGTGCAGTACCATATTGTGTAGATGCAGCAGGGGGCAGTATTGGACCAATACAAGTCTCCATTGACTGCCATTATAATTTATTAAACATTAATATTTCAAAAACTATAAGTTTACAGGCACCAAAAGTCATAGCCATCATTTGGCACAGGGGCTTTACAGAWATAAATTACAAAGGCAGCTCTAGGACAAAGTATGCAGGAGGAGAAGCATGCCAAAGTTGAGATGACTTGGATGGGAAACGAATCACATCCACTGATAAAACTAAACTATAATGAAAAATCCAAAACTATTACAACCTTGCTACAGATTTGCTAATATCAGCTACAGTTTTGCTACATTCTACTTTTAGCTACAAATCTGCAACATTTAAGCAACTGTCTTGCATCATTTTGCTTTTAACTACAGTTTTGCTACATTCGACCTTCATTTACAGATTTGCTAACTTTTGCCTTAAGATTTACTGTATTTTGTTCATTTTAGCTTCTGTTCTGCTCTTTCTAATTTGAAGAAAATTTTCATRAACAAATTCCAGCAGTCATTAAGCTCAGCGTTCTCGGTGCATCTTCACAGAAAATAGAATTTTTCTAATTAAATAAATCTCTTCTTCAGGGTTGGGAAGACAGTATTTTACAGCACTGTACCACAAATATGACTGTTAATAATTGTTCTATAAATCAGGCCTAAATCTTTTGTTGTTCTGATCAAGCAGAATGAGTGTTGTCTTGTTTATTTTTCACATTTTCTGCACTGAAAACGAGAAAGCTGTTCTTAAAGCCAGAGGCAAGGCAGAATATATTGCAGACAAGATAATAGAATGAAAATTCAGAGTCAAAGCATGTTTACACACAAAGCTGAKACATAAAAGCCCTGGAGGATTCAATGCGATTTTATTTCCAAGAAACTGTTTTGGTTGCAAGCTGATAATGAGAAAATGGTTAAAGAGATAAGAACGTRGGTGTATGTGAAGCGTTAATTGGGTTCTTGGAGGTCACAAGAGGAGCATCCAAAGACAATGACATCAGTGGAATGTTACTTCCTAACTATAAACTCTACACAATGAAAACGTACATCCAGCTCCTGATAATTCAACATTTCAAATTTGCAGTCAATGTTTTTGTTGTTGTTGCTGCATGGTCATAAATGTAATCCTATAAGAAACCTGTTCTACATCAGTGATCATGAAAACATATCAGTGTTGTTTCAGCTGCTTCCTTCTGCAGGGGTCACAACACTGAAATAATTTACATAAAAATTTCACAATTATTTTACACCAATGTCCTTCCTGACACAACCTGGATTTAAACCAGCAGCCTCAGGATTAATAGACTCCAGCACTGACAACTAAACTACCACAGCCCTCAAAACACACATTTTAAAAAATCCATATTTAATGCATAAATACTTATATTCTCATCTCTTTTATTGACATCCACACATGCTCGTTTTATATTTGCACCTCTCAGAGTTCCTGTCCGCAGCAGGCAGTGTAATAAATAWTGTATGCAGATTTATATTACACACTGCAGATTAAGCATTAATCTGAGCTACAGGCTGATTTTTTATTTCCCACTGTGTTATCCCTTGCTCCTTGTTTAACACTTTTACATCCAGAGTTTATGTGTCTTTCAATGTAACCAGGAATACCAAGATGAATAGACAAATGTTTAAAAATATTTATTTTATTATTTGTGGGTATTGCTCATRTACAAAATAGATACAATTAAAGTTTAAGTATTCCTTTAAGTAATGCATATTACCTGTTGTCTTGCACACCAGTGATTTAGAATTTCATTTTATGCTGATAAATGACAGAGTTGCAGAGTGGACACAAATAACTTTTAATGCATTTTTCAAATAAATATCGGGCAGAATCTTTGATCTTTCAGCGGATCAGTCTCAACTATAAACAGAACAAATTTTAGCTCAATATTTTTAAAAACTGAACAAATTGTAGCCRTAATTGTGGCTAAAGTGGACTAGCTGTGACGGCCATCTTCAACTGGATTGTGTCCAAAACGGAATCAGTTCTAGTTCTGCATCCAGTGATTATTTTCTGCAAGTTTTGTTAAAATACATTAAGTGGTTCATAAGATATTTTGCTAACATTCAACACTAAATGCAGACAGACAAAGACATTATTAACTTTAGACAGTGGACATTAGTGTCCTGCAGCAGTTTGTTGTTCAGTTATGTAATGAGCCACCATGTGGAGGAACGTGTGTGCTGCACTGCCTGGAACAAGTGGACCACGCAGTTCTCACCTCAGCAATATGCAGCTCATTATGTAATATTCATGTGGTTCTTATTTCAGCAGGAACAGAGAACATGAAAGAAATGTTGTTTATCCTACTGTATATTTAAATACCCCTTATAGTCATGGGTAAAAGAAAGCCCATCCTATTTCTAATTCTAGTGCTTTATTATCAGGAAAAGACAAAAACAACTATTTGGTCTTTCCTAGGTTTTAAATTCTTTGTAATCCAACCTGTATAAAATGTATAAAAACACACAGCAGATTACTTAATGTTATTATTTCTTTAACAAAATCAAAGCCAGATTAAGACTGTGTGAAAAGCTAGTAAATGTTAGGTTAACATGTAGTAAAAAAAAATACGTCGCTAACCCTAATCCTAATTTTAGAACCTGGTAAAGACAGATTAGTTTAATTTCGTCTTGATCCCTAAAAGTGTATTTGATTGCATTTACTTGATGTGTACTCATTAGTTCAGAAGAGAGGAGGCACCCAGCTGAAACTGCTCCTATCGTTCCCAAATTATGGACAAGCTCTGTCCAAACCCATGAGGTAAGACTCATCGTCATGGTAGAACACTGAATGTGGCGTCGCTTGAGACATATTGAGTTATAAGTTWAAAAAAAACATGTTTTTGTTGAACAGACAGTCCAGAGATGCCGAGACAGACGTGAACCTCTTTTACTTCTCAGACTTTGAGAGACACAACGCAGAGATCGCTGCCTTCCACCTCGACAGGTACAGATTATTTCACACACACACACACACACACACACACACACACACACACACACAC